GTCTTAGGCTGTTTAATAAAGCAATAATTTATATATATACGTATATAGTATTACAATAATCTTGTCAGCCTCATTATACTAATAAAATCTTCAAAATACTCAAAGCTCGTCAAATGAAGAAATACGTACATAGCTATGTCGTAGTGATTTTTGCTTTACTAGAAGTCAATAAGATTATCATACTATAACAAAAGTATGTAAGCACAACAAAACACATAGTTTCGAAACTGAGTTAGTTAGTTACGTGAAAGTCGTCGACAAAGTTCAATGCACTATTTACGAACATTACCAAAAAAATTCTATTATACTATTACCGAAAACGGTAGTGACCTAAAAGGTCCGGTTTACATTTGTGCTTATAAAATTAAATTGTTTATTCTTTTAATTTTAAACATCCTGTATATATTTAATTAGCGTTTATAAAACTATGTACAAGCCTAATTAGCGGTTTCTTTAAACCGAGATCCACTACTCGTGCCTGAGATACAGTTATCTGATAAGGATCGAGCAAAAACAGCTTCGACTATTATAAATGTGAGAGTATGTTTGTTGAACAGATATAATGAGTGAAAAATACATATTATAAACTTGTTATATGTTATATATACAACCTCTTTGTACATTAAAAACTGAAGAAATTAAGGAACTCGAAAACTTTAATGCGTCTTTGAGATTTATTGACCCGAATATCTGCGGTAAAAGGTATCACGATGAAATTTGAAATATTCAACTTTTAGGAATTTATAAAAACGATTCAGTCGTCAGAGTTTGAACAGTTTAAAAAAATATTTTAAATTTGTTCTAAATAATTTTCAATTCGTACGAAAGATTTGGAACGTGAATTAATAATTTTGTTTACGAAATGTCTCATATTTAAAATCCTTAACGAAATCTGTTATAATCATATGTATAGCCTGAGTAACATTTTTAAAACGAATCAGTATATTTTGTTTTAATGTACGTTTTAAACCGGCTGACGAATCCTTAAATTCGACATAGCCTTAGGCTAAACATTTTTAAAAGGATTAAAACCCTTTTTTAATGTAAAAAAATATATGGATGAATAGCTACAACATAGATAATTGTTTAAATCTGAGGCACATAAATTTCGGGTGCCTTACCAAAATAGCCATGGGTTTATCGTAATATAGTCATATCAAAAGCACAGAAAAAACTTAAATCAATCAAAGAAATCTGGTTTAGATGACAAGATTGAGATTTTTAATTTGATTCATTAAATATTATCATGAATAACAAAATAAATCATTGTCAAATCTCTCTACTTATGTATCTGAAAAAATGAAATTGTTTTTATGACTTAGTAAAAGATATATACACATATATATCGTGTTATGTTAAATAATGTAAATTTATTCAGTGGCTCACGATAATCTAATGTGCGACGTAGAGAGAGTTCCTTAGCAGATTTGTAAAGAAAAAAGTCGCTATTGGCTGTGTTCCAATATTAATCATCTTAACGCGAGCATGCAACGAAAGTATGAAACCTCTTACGTTTTGAATTTTAAGCAAGCGAGTGATTTTTCTATGTACCTATAAGTTTAATATACAGCCGGTATTTTTGTCACTGTTGAGAACATAAAATATTACAGAAATATATAAAATAAATACATATATGCTTAAATTTAATTTAATTTTTCTCTAATATATCCGTTTGTAAGCAGTGCAGCGGGCTGCGGGACCCAACTAGTATTTAATTAGCTTGTTCAAAATTTTAAGCGAATATTTTTATGAAATAATTTTAATAGAATAACAATAATAAGCTCGGTGTAATGCCACAATCAGTACAATCTTGATACTAACCCCAGTTAAGTTCTGCGAAAGGGGCCAAGTGCCCCAACGGTGTATATTGACCACTATAACACGACCTCTGATATCAAAACATAAATATCATATGTATATGGTTCAAAACATTCTGGTTCAGGTGTAAGATGCTGCCAATTAAGTTAGACCCGCGCTTTTCATAGTTTAGCTTTTATTGGATTTGTTTGTTGGAGTTCAGTGATGGTTGGTTTGCAGTAACAATACTGCAACTGTGCTAATGAGTGTTGCATCATATGCTCATTCAATTGTGTGATGTTAGTTTAGTTGTCATTGACATTCAATCAACATATTATGCTCTGGCACAGTTTATGTTACAGTAATATAACATAAAATGGTAAATCTTAAAACATCTAGTTACTAGTGATTCTTAAAGATAATCGATTTTTTAAAATCAGTTCTTTTTATTAAAAAAAATAAATCATTTAAGTATAATGCACATTTTCTTTTCTCTACCAAAGTAAATAGGGCAAATAAAATGGTCTTCCTTATGTGTTTACTTTCACATTTCAAATATAAGGAAAATATCTTTCTGAAAGAAATTTAAAGAGTAAATATTTGTTGCAAAAATATAAGTCAATTTAGTACTTTTCCTTTAGCAATAGCAATTTTCTGGGTAATACTCCTATAACACTGAAATTACATTAATTTTAAAAAGGCATTTTTTATCTTGCTACTGTTTTCATTTCGTACTTATATAAAATCCTTTAATTTGGTAGCTGTTTTATTGAAAATATTTCGTCAGGTAAATATGGGATAATGCCATGGGAATTCCGTGAATCACTTACCCATCTCCAAAGGACTTAGAGTGATCCAGGTAGGACGAATTCGCGACAAATCCCATACTATAGATATTGGGCAAACAATATACATAGGAGAGATGGCTATATAAATGTCAATACGTCCAAATTAAATATTTATTCGACCATTCGGCTAAAGAGAATACTTTGACGAATTGTTTAATTGAAAAACTTTCTTTTGCGACTAATAAATAATTTGGCTTTGAGTTCGAAGGCTGCTTTGGATGACGACGGCTTTGTTATTTATTCATGGAGGTTTTATACGGTAAAAGAAGTTTAATATAAATTAATTCTCGAAATATATAACACTAGCTTTCCGCCCGCAGCTTCGCCTGCGTTGCGTTCGGTTATATCGCGTTTCCAAGAGAACCTTTCAAAAGTCTAGGATAAAAACTATCCTATGTTCTTTGTCAAGATCAACTCTATCTCTGTACCAAATTTCATTAAAATTAGTTCAGTGGTTTAGGCGTGAAAGCGTAACAGACAGACAGACAGACAGACAGAGTTACTTTCGCATTTATAATATTAGTAGGGATATGTTGTAGCTCTATAAGCTGACTGATTAAACTTGCCTTTATAAACGGAATATCGTTTCTAGTAAATTATTTAGATCGTATTCTTGAAGTTAACGTTAATATTTATTTTCCATTAAAACAGCCGCAGAAGCCGACGTAGAATTATCAATTATTATTCCCAATATATAAATTTGGCAATATAAAAGTATGAGAATGAACTTGGATGAAATTTAAAGACAACAAACCATAGTTGTAGGTCTTGTTTTCATAAACTTTAAAAAAAGGTCGGCTATTTTAATATTAAAGACTCAATAATATTTTTCGAGTACGTTGAATGATGAAGTTCGTAAGAAATTTTTGTTCTTACTTACTATTCATATTTAAAAAAGTTTATATACAAAAAAAATATTTACTATATTATCCTATCATTAACTGAGTATTATAGAAAACTGTAAATTAATTCGCAAAACTTAAGCACGTATGTTGCAAGTATGGCACGTTAAAACAAATTTTCCAGTCTAGTAATAACGTATGGTACTTTAAATGAGGTTATCCATCACATTAGAGGAACGATTACCATCTGTGGTTGATGGAATAATGATTACTGGAGTGGAATCAAAGCGTGGTGTTGATATTGTATTGATCAGTGAACAAACAGCTTTATATTGGAGCAATGTTTATTTGTCAATATTATTAACACTTACCATTACTTATAGGGTCTGTATGATATATGTATGTCTATCTTTCCTTTAGCGCTTTTTAAATTAAATAATGAGAAGTATGTAATGCATACTATCGAAATGTTGTGTTTGATAATGAGATCACTAAGGGTATCAGTTAGTGCAATATATGCTTTCACTCGCCATAGGTAGGCAGACCCTGGCTAAAGCTAGGAAATTGCCAGGAAGAAGAAGAAGATGTTTTCATCCGAAATAACTAAATACGAAAGAGTTAAGACAAAATCTTGTTGTACATTTGTGATTTATTTTTTGTTTTGTCACGATGTTACCTAGTCTAGTTTACTCGTTATATCTAATTACATAAAAAATATGAACTTAGTCTAAGTAGCTCCGCTACATATGCTTGTATAATTTTTAAACTATATGTAAATAAACAAAACTTCTTTTATCATTCCTTTTATATTATACTCAATTGTCATGACGACTTTCAATTTATTTAAAATAATTAAAAGGTTATTGAAGTTTGATTAAATTGTATACGTTCATAATACAATAAAGAAATACGTAGGTATATATTTTTTTGATTAATCCGTCTTCAATGAATATATTTTCTCTCTTACATTTTACGGTAATAATAATATTGATGTACTTCAATTAATATTTGTTAATCCTTGTATGTAGTAATCTATTCATGATGACCCAAATGTGTTTGACATGTTCTGATGTACATCAAGTGTGTTATAGTGTCTCGGTAACACTCCAATAAGCAATGCTTGCGATCTTAACAGTTAGCCGATGCTATTTTCATTCTATATATGGTATAGAAATTTTTCTTCGGTTATTTTAAGTACTTATCTGTCTACCAATAAGTTTGTAACTTTGTAATGTTTTCTCGATTTTAATTCATATAGCCTTTAAATGTTCTTTGTATTTATATTTATAGGTTTATATTAAAATGTGTGAAGGTTTATACAAAATAAACTATTTTTATGCTCATGTGTAAGGTCGAAGCCACGGCTCTTTTACACTCCACCGATCATTTTCACAAGCGATTTGCTTCACTTTTTTTTATAACTTGCATCACATGAAAGTATTTTAGGATTTTATTTACTTGGAAGGCAAAAAGTGACCAAGAATTAACAAAATACGCAAGAGAAGCAGATCTCATGTTGCATAAAATTAAACCGCTAGACGTCACTAACATTACACAATTGAGTCGGGAGGTAGCGACAAAGTTAATAGACAATAATTATGAACAGATAGTTTCGTCTCTAAGGGCAGCTGCTTATCGAGTCTTCGCTCTTAAACCATCAAACGGATCGAAGAAGCGCAGAATACCAGGATGGAATGAGCGGGTCAAACAGGCCTATGCAACATCGAAAGAGGCTTTTATCAATTGGGTTGCCGCAGGTAGACCCTCTACCGGGGTGGTGGCGGAGAAAAGGTCAAGTACTAAGAAAGATTTCAAAAAGGAATATAAAAAATGCTTGAGAGATTCCGAGGAAATCAAGGCCAGCAGGATAGCACTTAGTCTTCACAATAAGAACTTTAATAGCTTCTGGAGACAGACAAATAAAGCTATGAAGACAAAAAACAAGACGTTGGCTGTTGAAGTTAACGGAAAATCGGACGAAAGGGAGATAGCTAAGGAATTTGCCAGCCATTTTGGTTTCACAACTAGTCACCCGGCAGACAAAACACCTATGTCGCGTAGAATTATTTCTATTTCCGCCGCCGAGGTCGATAAAATCATCCAATGTGAGAACAGAAATAAGGCGGCAGGACATGACGGCCTTGTGGCTGAGCATTTGATATATTCAGGCCCCTACCTACCGACACTGTTAGCCGCTCTGTTTAACGCTTGTCTCACTATGTGTCACATACCAACCGACATGATGAAAACCACTGTAGTGCCATTACTTAAGCACAGACAGCTTGATATCTCTCTCCTATCGAGTTATCGCCCTATATCATTGGCTACTGCGACCGCAAAAGTTTTTGAAAAAGTAATCTTTGCTCACCTAAAGAAAAATTTACATACAAATGACCACCAAATGGGATTTAAACCGAGTACGTCTACCGACACTGCAATTTTCACTCTTAAGCAGACAATATCCTACTATAATAAAAGAAGAACGACGATATACGGCTGCTTTCTCGATCTCAGTAAGGCTTTTGATAGAGTATCCCATACAAACCTCTGGAATAAACTACATGAGAGACAAACACCAGAATATATAACTAATATCTTAAAATTTTGGCATGGACAACAAACAAATATTATAAGGTGGGGCACCCATACATCTGACCCGACATTCTTGAGCACTGGAGTCAGGCAAGGTGGAGCCATGTCGCCTGGTCTATTCAATCTGTATATGGATGCATTAAGTGACAAGCTACTGGCAACGAAGGTCGGCTGTCACATAAACAATACATGCATCAATCACATCGCGTACGCAGACGACATGGTGCTACTAGCGCCCAGCATCAGAGCCCTAAGAATTCTCATAAGAGAATGTGAGAAATATGCTGAGGAACACAATATGGTGTACAATATTCAGAAGACGAAGCTACTAATATTTAAGTATAGAAATGGGCCGGAAGCAATACCGCAAGTTCGTCTTAATGGACAGACTATTGAAATTGATTCATGCATAAAATACCTAGGGCACATAATAAGGGACGACCTCTCAGATGTCGATGATATCAACAGGCAAAGGAGAGCAATAACCATACGCGCGAACATGATATCACGAAGATTCAGACTATGCACTGATGAGGTGAAATCTATATTATTTCGTACCTATTGTATGTGTCTCTATACAGGTGAATTGTGGATCAAATACACGCAAAGTGCCATCAACGCTATGCGGGTGGGATATAACAACGCGTTTCGAATACTGTTCGGACTACCACGACACTGTAGCGCATCAGAAATGTTCACTGAAAGGAGAGTACACGGTTTCTGGGCACTGATGCGTGTAAGAATTGCGAGCACCTGGAAGAGATATACTCAAAGCGATAACTCATTAGTTAAGGCTTGCTCGAGCATTAATGTGGGATATTTGTTGGAGCATTGGTCGAAAATACACACACACTATCAAGGGGTATGCTAATGGTTATTGTGCGGTCAAGGTTGTGCTCATAAGTTTAATTTTAATATTAATTTAAGTTCTGTGTTTTAGTTTATAAGTCATTATTTTTCATTTTTAGTAAACTAATTAAATAAAAAGTGTGTGAAATTGGAATTTTATGGTTCTGGAAATAAATTGATTTATTATTATTATTATTATTATTATTATTTATTTACTTGAAAGACTTTAGTTTAATTTCTTGGTGTTGGTTGTACTTTTATTTTTCTTGGTAATGAGGAGACTAGATTAAAATGAGTACATTTAAACATTTAAATGAAATTTGTTGATAAGATTTTATTTTAGTTTTTGTGCCTTAATTTAAATTGACATTTATAATATACAGGTTGGTCATACAAATGCAATAGATACTATAAAACATTAACAATATGTCGTCATTAAAATTTTCCTGAAAATTTTACAAATTCAATTCTATCTCTATCAATAAATTCACATAGACGGAAATTTTGGCAGAAATATAATGCATATCATGGAATAAAAGCATTTTTTTTGCAAGAAAACGTCTTTAAGTCAAGTCAATATCTTTATATACTTACTTTATTTGCAAGAAAATATACTATTAAAAACTTCTGTCCGCCTGTGTTGTCGTCGGTTAATCTTTAACTACGGGCTTTGAAGCAAAACCTGTGTTTCGAAAACTTCGACTGCTTGAATAAATGCAAACGAATCCGCAGCTAAACGTTAGTGAATAATGAATCTCCTTAATTACAGTAGCGATTAAGAAAATGTCACTAGTCAAAGTATTAGACTTAATAGAGTCAAACAAATTATAAACGTTACTACAACTTTATAGTTTATTTTATAAGTTATAGAAGTTTTGTACGGACTTCAAAGAAATATATAAGATGGAGACCAAGAACATGAAAGCCATTACTTGATGCTTACAGACACCTTCAGAATGCGACCAGCTTTTAAAAGCTTAATGACTTTGACGTTTTGCTTATATATAAATGTACATTGTATATATATATCTTTATATATATAATTCTTCTGTGAGTGTGTATGTCACTGAACTTCTCTCAAACGACTGGACCGATTTTGATGAAATTTTTTGTGTGTGTTCAAGGGGATCTGGGAATGGTTTAGATTCACAATTTTGTCCGCTGGACGATGTTTTTTTGATTAATTTTTAATTTATTAGTAGTTGTTGATACAAACGGTTTTTTTAACATTAGATTTGACAACTAACTAATATGTCAATCATTCTGTCCCACTTCAAAACACGGAGATTTATGGCTTTATAAGGTAAACTTCAAAAATATAAATAAAAAAACGTAACAGATATTTCTTGATTATAGGGCGATACGAAGTTCGCCCTATATATATATATATATATATATATATATATATATATATATATATATATATATATATAATTAAATATTAAAATTGAACACAAATCACTATAGAATATATACCAGATGTACTGCTTATAGTTAAATGTTTTCTTTAGTTTTTATTTAGCCTATATTATAAATTTGATTTTAATATGTTAGTAGGTTACTCTATAAGTTGAAAAATAAATAGATTTTTAAAAAGTTTTATTTTTGTGGTTACTTACCACGATGTGAAGAATAAAATTTTGCATTAATTTAGAAGCAAGTTATGGCAAACTGTTCTGAACAATATTTTCATTTAATATATTATCTTTCTCATATGTAAGGATATTTCTCTAATATTGAATGAAAATTTTAGCAAAATTGGAATTAAAAGAACCCACAATACCTTGAATTATAAAACTCTGTCAAATTCGTTTCGTTTCTAGTTATAATGCATAAGACCTAGGCTTTTCGTCCCCAGGGTCAAGAATTATGTTTCAAGTTATAGTAATTACGCTCGCATTATAACCCAGTTACCTTAATACGGCGTAGTATTCCAGGAAAACTAATTATATTTACTTACGAAACTTGAAACTTAATGTACGTATATATATGACACAATATATTTTAATCAAGTATCTTATTTATATACTATAGAACTACTGTATTGTCTCTCTTTTAGTTATTGGCATTTCTTTATAAATTTCGTTAATGTTATGTGTGAATATTATATTGAACTTATGTAAGGAGGGATTTCTTAAGGAATAGGGAGGCCACGATACCTACTAAGAACTTTGATACTTCTAATATCATTAAAATAAGGTATTAATAAAAAAATAATCAAAATTAATGATATCACTGTCTTTATAGATTTCATTTATATTATCAATTTTCCATAAATTTATCTACAATTTCTCTCATTGGATACTTGGTCAGCCTTGATTTAGGTCGAATTTGAAATCCCGTGAATCCGTACTGACCCAAATTAACATTTAAATACTATATCACAATGTTAACCTCATTTAAACTTACAGAACTAATAAGGGATAGATCATTAGGTAGTTAAAACGAGCGGTTAAATTATACATCGTTTATTTGAGATAAATTTTGATTGAAAACTTTAACTTTATAACGAATTTTGTATCGAATTATAATTTTATAATTGTTTATTTAGAAAACTAAATCACGATGTAATTGTTCATTTTATATTGAAGGGAATGAAAACAATGGTTTATTATCTGAGGATGGCATTGACCTCGTTTGTTAATTTGGTGACCATAAAATGATCTCATGATTTTATATAGCTGTATTTTCGTTTTAATGTAATCTGTTATAAGATTTCAATAGGAAAATTTTGATAATATTTCATGTTTATCTTTAAAAATGCCTTGTATAGTAAACTATTAGTTTTCCAAAGAAGTAGTTTTATTTTAAACTTGCCAGTAATAAAATGAAATGCTACATGTATGTGTAATTTCGTTACTAATTAAGATGATACAACTCAATTATAAAATAGCATTATATGAAATTTATCTGTTTGTAAGTTAATCCAGCGAAGACTTAGGATTCGATTGAGACGATATTTTTTTCGTTAATTAGGTTCTTCATTACAACATTGAGTTAATACTTGAATTTAAATTTAAGTATAAAATATATTGTGAAACATTCGAATGTAAAAGATTTGAAAATGTCACGTATATAAAGGAAATAGAACGCTACTTTCTGAGGTATTAAATTCGATGCCCGCTTGTGTCACAAGATTTTTTCGATACTTAATATTTGATTTTAAATTTATCCAACTTAATATTTAGGTGGCTATAGTAAAATATATAAAATATAAGCCTTAAAAAATATAATACTCAAATACATACATCGTAATATATATAGTATACATATATAAAGTTAAAATATAATAATATATTAAAATTTTGGCACGATCGCGAAATCTAAATGGATACTCCCCGTTGGTAATTCCGTATTTAGAGATAGTTCCCACTTAAAGCAAGAGATTCTAAATAAACGGGACGGACAAGTTTAGTGTGGGAGTTTTGACGATTTTAGTATGTTTCGTTAAAGTTTTTTATTGTTGATAACGGATTTCATTGTTATCTATATTGATAATATTTGATAAAATTATTTTGTTTACGAAACACACGATGTTGTAATAGAACAAAACAATTTAAAAATTTACCTATTTGGCTTAAAGTACCTAATACAATATATGTTTTTAATATAAAATGTTCTATAGCAAAACGTATTTTTTTATCAACCATATTTCCACATACTCCTGGCCGTGTTCAGTGACCAGTCCCAATATAATTCAGTCTTCTTCATATGTATTATTTCTATCAGTTCTTGATAAGTGACTCACTGGTACAAAGCCAAATGAAGATTTACTGATTAAGGATATCATTTTAAATACATTATAATTTACATACA